GAAAAAACAAAGTTTTAAAAATATTTTACGTAAAAATTATCAAGAACATAAACATTTATTGATTTCACCTCTTATATTAATTCTTCTTGCAATACCACGTTTAATTCTTACTTATATATCAAAATGTATGGGATCAAGTAATGATTCATGGTTATTTCTTTGTGAATATTTTATTTCATTTGTTCCAGCTATGTTAACTTTTATTATCTTTGTTTTATCATCAAAATTTTATAAAAAAAAGAATTTTATAATTCTATTCGTCAATATCATATTGCTATACAACGATGTTTACGGATTTCACCATGAAAAAAAACAAAGAATGGAAGTATTGTATAAAAATGAGTGCAAGTATATCGTGTTCAAGAAAAATACAATGTGCTTTTGTGATATTGATCGTCTAGAATGCATGATATTTAAAACTTTATTGTAAAAACGAATCTTGCAAATATAAATCGTCTGCTTTGCTTGCTTGTCTGTTCGTGCTTTACTGATTGATTTAAATAAAAGCGATTTTGTGTAAATACTAAACTGTCTTTATAGTATCTGATGTGATATGATTTTCCCGAGTTTGCCATACACTTATATAGAGTTTATACAGGGATCGGCGAAACAAGGATTTTTTGTCCAATTTCGTCTCGTTCTGCCGTCTCTTATCAATTTTTTTATCAGTTTATTTTTATAAATGATAAACATTTTTGTAGAGAATGAGAAGAGCTATTATCTGAAAAACAAAAAAATAAAAATTGTGTCATAGGAGTTTCTAATGTATGATCTATAACATCGTTTTCCAGAATATTTTATATGGTTGGATAGAGTTTGACGAGCTCTTCCAGAATACGAATGTCAAAAAAGAATTGATACTGTTTCTAGTACAAAACTTGAAGAAAATTAGAACGACTGATAAAAATTCCACATATCTCCCATAAGAGTGAGTATATTAAACTTTCAATATCTTGAACGAATCGACTATTCCGTCCGTTCAGGAAGCTGAGAAAGGTTGTTTTCAACTTCAGTATATGACACTGCATCTCGAAACATGAAGCAACAGGTGATTGCTACAGTTATTGAGAGTCAAATGCACTCGCTGACACAAGATGTGTCAGATTTCTTTAAGCTTTCTCGTTTCTTCCGAGTTTCGCATTGAAAAGAGGATCAACATTTTTGCTTGGTTTTCTCATCACCGTTTAGATTTGTATTAGTCTGTCTTATTTATCAAGAAATCTATCCGCCTGGCCAAAAATAGTGTCACACTGTATTTTCAATATATTATCACTATAAACTAACATCTTGATAAAAGTAATTATATATTCTGATAGCCCATGGAGTTCTCTACAACTTCATATATTTACATTTTGCATAGCATCTTTTACTTAAAAAGTAATTAAAGCAAACTGAAGGCACCCTCATCGTCAGATTCCCCGATTATACAATTTTTGCTCTTTTTCATTCAGTTTTTTCGATTTTTTAATTTCGTTCTGTTTCGATTTCGTGAAAAATATAATGTACTTTTATACGTCCGCCTAGTCCAATTATTATTAACACTTGCCTGGTTCAGGCCGTTTGAATCAGTCAGCGAGAATCATATACACATCTTTCTGTTTTGTCATTAATAAAGTCGTTTATTTACAATGAGTGGACATTTATCTGTTGGTGATCGTTGGCGTATTGTTTCATTATACTACGACGAAGGAAATAATGTACATGAAATAGCTAATTTAGTTGGTTGTGCTATTCGAACAGTTTATCGTATTCTTGAATTATTTGAAGAAACCCATAATATTACTGAACGAAACGGACGTGGTCGTCATATGGCGCTAAATAATGATGAAATTTATACATTAAGACAAATTTTGTATCGCTACCCCAATGAAACTTCAAGTAATATTGTCAATAGATTTTTACGACGTACTGGTCAATTGGTCCCTGCTCGAACTATTCGACGTTATCGTCAAATGTTAGGTTTTCGTCCAGTCCATGCACGAACTCAAGCATTCATTACAACTATACATGCTCAACAACGATTAGATTTTTGTTTGTCATACGCAACAAATCAATGGCGAAACATCATCTTTAGTGACGAAAAAGCATTTGTAGTTGATGTTTCTGGTGTAGTTTATTATATTCCACGTGGTCGTCAGAGACCAATACATTTCCAAAGTCAAGTTCGATATCGTGTGGCAATTTTTGGCGCAGTTTGGTACAACGGTCGTTCAAATTTAATTTTCATTAATGATCGAACTAATACTACAACGTATGTTGAATATCTACAGGAAGCACTAAATGGACATCTACATCGTCTAAGACACTATCATTTCGTACATGATCGCCCTAGATGGGCGCATACTACACTAGCACATGATTGGTTGGAAAGTAATCATATTCGATGCATGGATGACTTTCCATCTGTTAGTCCTGATCTTAACGCTGTTGAAAGCGTCTCGTCTTGGTTGAACAAATACGTACAAAGCCGACATCCGAACTCTCAACGCCATTTGGAACGCTTGGTGCAACGGGCGTGGAATGCAATACCTCAAGTCGTCATTCGCGGGTACATACGTCATATACCTGATATTTGCAATCAGATAATAGCTAACAATGGCTGGCAAAGTATAGGATAGCAGAGACTTTCATTTCGTGTACTCTTTTTTGTAATAATTTGTTTTTATGATCGAAATAAAATTGAAAAAACTGAATGAAAAAGAGCAAAAATTGTATAATCGGGGAATCTGACGATGAGGGTGCCTTCAGTTTGTTTTAATTACTTTTTAGGTAAAAGATGCTATGCAAAATGTAAATATAT